TTTTTTTTTTGTTGATTTGGGCCTGTAATTACAATAAATATATCGGGTCAGGTTGGGCTCGTAAAAAATGGCGACGGGCCGGGTCGGATTTTTTTAGGCCCAAATACAACTCTACCTCAGACACCCACTATCTGCAATCCAGCATTGATCAGTTTAAAAATGCAGCCATGTTACTTGGTATGACTACTGCTGTTATGATTCTGTTCAGTAAAGAGTTTTCTGTAATAATATGAAGAAGTGAAATACATTTATTACGTATGTTCATTAAGTGAATAGGTAAAGTTTTAAAGTGCTTTTTGATACTGTTCATTTTCTCAAAACTGAAATTTTTGGAAGTTGAAATAAAAAAACTAATTCATTGTGTCTTGAGTGAAAAACACCTCACGTTTAAGAGTATAAAAATTGTATTAACACTATTAAAGAACAGGTCTTAAGTATTTATGTTACGCAAATATTTCCATTGCATTAAAGAGACAAACTGAAGAAAATGATTTAATAAACATGAGGGTTATGAGGGGGTCCCTGAAACAAATAAGTTTGAGAACCCCTCGAGTAGCTTTCGTCTTGCCAACACAGACTAGCCATTAGCTCGTCAACCTGGTCAAAATTAAACTTTATTTTCCCAAACTGAGGATCTTCACAGAGCCATCTACAATCATTATTGTTCAAAACCTCTCTGCAGTCCATGTCCAAGCATCTGAACTATCCCTTTAAGAACAGCCATGAAATCACATCAGGGCATTCTGAATGATCTCATGATGAGCGTTTATCTAGTCTGCGCTGATGACGCGAGCAGTGAACAGACGGTGCAGCTCGTCGGCTGCAGCCTGTTTGTGTCGAGTTGCTGTGGAGTTTCCTTCAGCTGAGCTGGTTTGCAACAGTTCCAACACTGTCTGTAAATTATCAGCTGCTGGATGTGAGCGAACTCACTGCTAACCTTGTGATGGACTCATCCTGGATGGGGCTCACGTGTCTCAGCCCTGTCTAGCAACCGTATAGTGTAGAAAAGGCTCGAGTCATCCCCTCATTTATTCGTATTCGGTTTCCAAAGAATGAGCTCCGTGGAAACAAAGTATAAAGATATTAAAGATATTAGAGGAGTTTTATCAAGCCCTCGTAACTCACAGCGTCTGTCTGAGAAGGCTGCTGTCTTGCGCAGTTCCCAGCAGAGAGACGGCTTTTTGCATCTCAGAGGCTGAAAAAAGGAAAGTGTGCATTAGTTCCGACTAATACTTTTTGTTTTACTATGATTCAGCCTCTTAACTAAGAAAAGCGGTTGTGAATCTTAATGTCAGAGTAGCTGGTGCATGTGTATTACTCAGCAGCGTGATCCTCTGGATGTTGGAGCTGATGTTTTGGACCAAAGCCCTGGGCTCATCTGGAATCCCCGCCTGGTAAGCCATGATGAAAGCTGCGAGGCGAACACAGAGTTAACACACGCAGCGCATTCATGAGTCACACTGAGATCTAATAATCACATTTAACTCAGGTCAGCCCACTGCTCATATGACTGACATGTGAAAGTACCTTTTACGAACCAGGCTTTAATCCCTTGTACAAACCATAAGCTGAAATGTATTACTCCTACCAGGCAAAATATTAAAACTAACAAAAGACAAATGAATAACTCTGATTCACTTGTGACAGTGCAGATTTAAGATGAAAATTAACGAGTTACTGCATTTACTTTGACGTGCACCGGCCTAAACACATTCCTATGTTGGTTTAATACCCGGGCCCTGCCCAGCTGGACCGTTACTCCACCGTACTCTTAAAAAATGCTCAGGGAAGACTTGCGTAATCTAAATAAGGACGTGGGTGTTGAATTTCCTATCTCAATCTGAAAAATGTGCCAGAAAAGATCTTTAAGGAGCATCGACAAGCCAAAGGAGCATGTTTCCGCTACTTTTCTGTTTAATTCTGTGTTTGATTGGTCTCATTTGACGTTCTGTGTTGCACTTTTGACATCATAATCAGAGATTAATGAAAAAAGTTAAAGTGATAAAAGTATTTTACATTTAAAATAACATCTTGGGGGCCAGATAAGATGTCAACGAGGGCCACATTTGGCCCCCGGGCCTTGAGTTTGACACATGCACTAATCTAACCTCTGAAAATGTCACTATTAGAGTTCTGATGCTTATTTTAGGGCTAAAAGACAAAAACGTTAGGTTTTTTTTTTTCTTTTCTTGAATGGTGTATATTTTGCTCAAAATGCCATAAAAACATGCACTCAAAATGAATAATAATTTAAAAAAAATTGTTTAAATAAAAAAAAAAAAAAAGATTATAAAGTCTGTGGGTCTCAAATATGTTAAATGATAAACAAGAAAGCTTGATTTTTCTTTTTTTTTTTTTTTTTGCTACATACTTCTTCATATGTGGAAAATACTAAATGCATCTTTATATATCCTGATGCATGCTCAATAATCCAGGTAGAAAAATCGAACAAAGTTAAATCAGGTCCTCTGGACATTCAAAAAATAAAAAAACTGGTTCATCTTTTCCCCAAAAGGCTTCTTCAGTCTGAGGAGCTGTAATAAACTCAGCTCCTTAATGGATCAACCAGTTTGCTGGTGACAGCCAGAACTAGCTGTTCACATGACGACCTAAAGGAGGACCACAGCCTAACGACTGATTGTTAGTGCTCTGATGGCCGCTTGCTATTCACAGAGGGCTGAGTGATACTAGCAATAACAGCACTGTAACAAGGTGACAACTGGACATGGAGGCCTTTTGCCTGTTTTATAACTCGAGCCAGGCAGGAGGAGAAATCCCACACCAGACGACATGCTCTAGAGCGCACGTGTGAAACTCAAGGCCCGCAGGCGAGATGTGGCCCGAGAGAACTTAAAAGGTCTGACTGATAACAGACTACCAGTATATTTCCCATAATGCATGCTGATTATACCCGCGAAGTACCAGCACTTTGACACCAAACGCAGCACTAAGTATGCCAAACTGAGCCTTCAACCCTTTTATTTTGAGTTTATTAAATGCCTTTTATTATATTATGTTAAATTTGCAGCAATTTGTTTATGCAGGTAAATGTTTTCTATAATAATACCATCTCTCATTAATTGGATGCATGACCCTTGCATGGCTGTATGCAGCCATTTGTTTTTTGTAAAATGCTACACCCATCACAGCTCCCAGTTGGTGGTTGGATCATTATTCTGCCCCTCTTAACTATGACTAAAAAGTTTTGAACAAAGTTAACGTCATAACTTGTTCTTTTTCTTTATTCACTTGGAACGTTTGATCATTGATATGTGGAGTAGTGTGGGCTTCATAAACTGACAAATTAAAAGGTTTTATGTTATAACAGAGCAACAGACAGACATTTATATATACGTGTGTGTGTGTGTGTGTATAAGTTGAATAAGTAAACAATCCAAAGTTATTTTACATTAAAGAATAGTTGCATTTATTTTACATTACATTTAGTCAAATTTAGCTACATTTATACTGTTTTACAGTTACATCTGGCCCTTTGAGGGCAACCATTTTGTTGATGTGGCCCTCGGTGGAAATGAGTTTGACACCCCTGATCTAGAGCAATGTGGATATCCTAACTGGGCCTTCCTGAAAGCAGAGAAGAAACCCAAACAGGACTCCAGTCAGTCATCAGGTGAAAGGGAGGAACCCAGACCCAGACCAGTGGTCATTCCATATGTTGAGGGAGTATCAGAGAAACTGAGACGTTTATTTTCTAAACATAACGTCCCAGTGGCTTTTAAACCCCAAAATACATTACGGCAAAGACTGGTTCATCCCAAAGATCCAGTCCCCCGGCACAAACAGAGTAATGTTGTGTATGCTGTTCAGTGTCAGGAGGGCTGTGATCAGTCTTACATCGGGGAAACTAAACAGCCACTGGCCAAAAGGATGGCCCAGCACAGAAGATCAACATCATCAGGCCAGGATTCTGTGGTCTACACTCATCTCCAGGCCAGCGGTCACTCTTTCAGGGATGAAGATGTTCACATCCTGGACAGAGAGGAACGATGGTTTGAGAGAGGAGTAAAGGAGGCCATCCATCAGTAAACAGGGGTGGAGGCCTCGGTGTTCAACTGTCACCCTCTTACAATGCTGTTATTGCTGGTATCACTCAGCACCCAGTGAATAGCATCAGGGTGCTGACAATCAGTTGGTAGGCTGATGGTCCTCCTTTAGCATGTAAACAGCTAGTTTTGGATGTCAGCAACAAATTGGTTGATCCACTATGAGAAGAAGGTGCTGTTTATTAAACTGAGTTTAGTGCAGCTCCTCAGACTGACCGTCTTTTGGATAAAAGACTAAAATGTTTCAACAAGTTTTTTTTTTTTTTAACCATCCAGAGGACCTGACTTAACTTTGTTAGAGCATCTTTATACAACTTAAAGTAAAATACATATATGATGTACATCTGACCAAGTTACCAGTTTCTGACAACAAACTATTTTGAGTCTGTTTATTTTGACAAGAAGCTTGAAGGTAACACCACCAACCTCCGGTGCGTTCACTGCCCGTTTGTTTTTTTCAGCCTCTGCTCTGGTTGGTCAGGGATGACACTTTCTAGGCCAGTCATGCGGACTTCCTGTGACTCAAGAGGACTGGAGTAGTCTCCAGTGAAAATAAACATCTGCTAAGAATGTTATGAACTCCGGGAAATCAATATTTTGTAAACTAAACAACAGCGTTTAACTCATGTTTTGTCTCTCTACCTGTCTTACTCCCAGAATGCGGAAATCATGAGTTTCACTGGCATAAATATCGCATATAAAGAACGCATTAACATCATTATCACCGAATTTGAAGTTTTTCTTAAAAGCTACACTAATATTCCGTCAAGCACAACGTTATTGACTCGAACCTGTATCGATAACAAATTATCTGTCAAAAAAAGTGAAACTCAAGACTCGCAACGCAATCTCCTTTTTTCCAGTAAACAAGTTGACATTTTGAAACCGCATCATTGTGTCGTGTTTATCATGATAAATGTGTAAGAACCGTCATCCCTGCCCGAAATGTTCAGTTCGGTTTAGTAAAAGTTTAGACTTTACCTTCGTTGAGATTCGCAGCGGCGGTTTGTTTCCTGATTCACCGAAACGCCCCTGGCTGTCACGTGACGTCTGCTGAACTCATGGAAGGGGCGTTCAGGGACATAAGTTTAAACGGTGAAAAGACACAGAAAAGATCCAAAAACGAAAACGAAGACAAACAAGCCACATTTTCTGACTTAACAACAAGCTAAAAATGTGTGAAACTGTCTACAATCAATACATTTCAAATAAAACAATCTTGTTTTCTTGACTAAAAGCATGTGACACCTTCAATGAACCAGATTCCTTTAAATTATGAACGCACCAGTACATTTAGGAAGTTTCAGGAGTATGGAACCGAATCAGTGCCATAATATTTGTTTATTTGAACGTGTTTAAATATTATTTAAATTTTGAATATTATTTAATTAAAATTCTGGAACTGTAAGAAAATTTAAAAAAAATATATAGAATATTTAAAATTGAAAACAAAAAAATATATACATCAAGAAATATTGAAAAATTATTGTAACTACAATCAAACTTAAAAAGAAGTGTTTGTGTCTTTTGTTTCTCATTTTTAATTTCAATTTTCAAGATCAAAACCAAACTTTTAGTTTATATATATATATATATATATATATATATATATATATATATATATATATATATATATATATATATATATATATATATATATATATATATATGTTTTTGTTTCTTTTGATCCTGTTTTAGATCCTTCCATACAGCAAGAAAAGGAAAACAATGAGAGTTTTGTAGCATTGCCAGTGGAAACTGTTAATTTTTTATACATCTTAAAACTGTAACAGACAATAATTGCTTTTAATGACCATCCATCTATGCAACTTTTGAGACACTGCTTACTTTTTCTTCTATTTACAACAACTTGTGTTTATTACAAAAGGGAAAAGCACACAGCACAAAATGACGATAAAGTAATGTAAATGGACTCTCTTGTCTAATCCTTCTTTTAGTTTAAACTTTAACAGCAGACACAGTAGAAATGTGTTTCGCTGACTGTCCAATATGTCATGACACATCACGAAGCATTCTTACGTAATGTTGCGTAACATCCGTTGTGTCAGTGTTAGTCAGATTAAACTTCAAGCAGGTTATCCAAATACATTTTACATCAGACTCAGCTTCAATAATTTACAACAACAAGAACCAGGCCAATTTTATTGCAAGTTTTGCTCAAGACAATCAATGCCAAACGTTGTTTTTGTGCACGTTATCGGCACAGCTTTTTTGAGTGCCTAATGTTTTGCAAATTTATCTCCTAAACCATCATAGCAGGTTAGTTTTTAAGCTGAAACTACGCCACACATTTTAAATGGCCAGTTGTACTTTGTTCCATACTGAGTATCTGGTGAACAGTGAGCCCGGTGAACTCTCTTATCACACTTTAACACTATATGTGCGTTTGCTTGTTTGTTGGAGTCGGAACTAGGAAGTGTGAGCCGTGGGAGTACGTAACCCCGTACCTCCCATAGTTCTCAGTCCTGACTCCTTGATGTCCTCCTCCTCAGCTCCTCGGCTGAGGAGCTCTCGGCCTCCTCCTGGCCTGTGCGGTGTCTCGGAGCAGTTCTGCCAGTGTTTTAGAAAACGGCATGCCCATTCGCTGGGCACAAACATCCAGGTAAGATGATGAAAACATGTGAATGTGTAGGACTTTACCTCGTGAGCACAAGAACCTTGATGTCAGGTGTTTTGCTTGTGCAGGTCGTCTTGCTGACCCAACAGGTTCGACAAGCTGCGGCCTCCAGGAGACACTCTGTGCGTTTCACCTCAGAGCTGGTGGGGCTGTGAGTACGACAAACAAACATCCAGAGTAAACACAAACAATCCCAGTTATTCCTGCACACCTTTTTGTTTTCATTTTTCAGGTGTGAATTACTTCCTCTCTGCACTTCCTTCCTTGTGTGCTGCACAGCAGGGCTTCATGGGGGGCAGCGTTCAGGAGGTTCTCATGCTGTTTTTATGGCATGAGACAACAAATAAATAAAAAGATGAACGTTTAATGATGCGAGGATGACTGCAGTGGTCTCTGCTGCGTTTTCAGGGGCAGCTGAAAGCACCTGCGGGTGCAGAGGGCTATCGTACCACCTATGATGACTGTTCAGTTCGGTACCCTGACGTCATGGCAAAGTGGGACACTTTTTTTCAGGTATTTGATTTACACATGCTGGAAAATGGCAGTTTGCATCTGATTTAGCACTTCCTGCAGTCAGGAGGTCTGGAGAGTAATCCAGTCATGTGATGTTCTTGTTAGAGGAAATGAAAGGACTTTCATTCCTTAAAGGAATGCACACCACCTTTCATATTTTAAATGAACAAGTGAATGGGACGACTCCAGCTTTAACCAGTTTAATCAGTGCAAACAAACACGGGTGGAAACATGATCACACATCTTGGGCTTCCATCTGCAGGAGAGAAAAGAAAGTAACACTATCTGGTTTTTTTGTTGTTGTTGTTGTCTGCAAACCTTTTTTATTTTTTATTTATTTTACAAATGATGAGAATAAATTTGTGGAGAACATTTAAAGGATGTATTTATGTGTTCTTCAAGGCTCTGAAGGCTGAGTCCACTTTACCTGGCAACGAGAAGAAAGACTCCATCCTTGGTGTCTACTGGACGGCCCACATGGCTTCACTTCATGCCTCAGCAGCGTGCAACGCCAAGTACTTATCATCCATCCATCCATCCATCATCCATCCATTCATTCATCCATCCATCCATCCATCATCCATCATCCATTAATCCATCATCCATTCATTCATCCATCATCCATCCATACATTAATCCATCCATCCATTCATTCATCCATC